GCAGTAAATCAGGTAACCTGTGCTTCGGTGGGAGATACAAGTGAAAGAACACATCGTATCTTTAAAGAAACAGTAACAAAGCAATAAAAAAATGGTACTGCATGAACAGCAGTAACTGCGGAAATTGGGTTGACCCGAGGGGGCTGATGACATTGAATTGTTAAATTTGTGAAATGTTTACTTTATAGGCATTTATGAAAAAAAAAAAATCTATGTAGATTTGGGAATGGCAAATAATGTGAAATAATGGATCTCAAAAATATAAATAACTATAATATATATATATACACACACACACACACATGCACGCACACACACACACACACACACATTTGCTGTGGTTGACATTGAACGAATTGGCTGTATGATGCACAGAGACGTACATTTTTGCTTGGGGCAGGTTCATTTAATTAGAACTGAAGAAATGGTACAGAAGTGTTAGAAAAGACTGTGTGGTTATATGTTCCCAAGTCACTATATACAGGGTGGGCCAAAATTCAGAATAATGTTTGAGGAGTTTATAACTTTGTTTATTAATGAACCAATTTCCATGATATTACATACAATGAATGCTTAACACATGGAGATTTGTTTGACTAGGTATGGAAGATGAAATCTTTTAAATGAGCTCTATTTGCTGCCTCGCAAAGTCGGACTCTTTCTAATTGCATTGTTCATAACATTAGTTAATGTTTCAGGCTCGAGTGCACATTTCTGCTTGGATAATTTTTTTTTGGATGGTTAAGTTTACATGGTTTGTTTGCGTAAACGCACTCCTTTAGGTATCCCTACAGGAAGTCATCAGCATCTGAAAGGTTTGGTTTATGCGGCGGCTAATTAATCGGAGAATGTCTTGAAATTATCTGCTCACCAAACCACAATTCGGATCAATTTTCTCTGTGTGTCAAAATAATGGACCTGCCATTTTAAAAATAAAATTCCATGAATTTTACTCGTTGTTCCTTCGTGAAATTGCCAATAATAAATCTTCTAAGATTCGTTATTCTGCAACAGAAATAAATGTTTTCTGCATCAGAAAAATGTAACTACTAACTAAAACATTAGGCACCTGTCAAATCCTACTCTGGATTTCGAGCTGCTCTAAATGTGCTTCTCTTTTTAAGACAAAGTCCTGAATATTGAGTAAAATCCAATGCAATGGATAGAATGTTACTTCTGATTGCTCTATTTCTGGAACATTGCACAACAAGTATACAGAACTATAATGTAAATAGAATGATGAGCCAGACTAGGATCAAGTGTGCATGACCACACCTCTGTGTTAGTTTAAATCGTTGAGTAATGGTATGCACTAACTTTAGGAGATGGATGAGTAATGTGTTGAACATATTCTGGTATTTGTTATTTATACTTCTTCTATGAAGAAATACCCACATTAATGTAAAGCTATTTAGGGTGAGCCTCAGATTGCGTCTTTTGAGTGATCTGATCGCTATGAAATGTTTTACCGAGGATGAAAACCATAACCATAATTGTTTTTATTTAAATGCATTTAGTTCTATCTTATCTCAGGTAAATGATGATTTCCCAAGAACTTAGATCATCTAGTCTGCATATCATAAGATCTCACCTTGAATTGATCCATCTCTTGTATCATCTATATTTTCTGTAAAACTTATTTCTTCATGTCCGTCATGAGCCTTCCACACAGACAGTCATCAGTCTTGAGGTCCAACACAAATTAGTCACCATTTAATCTCAGGCTGTGCAGTATGTTTGGTTTTTCTGTTAAAGTGTCCTACTTATAATTCTTCCTTTTTCCTATTTGACTTTTTAACCCTCATTGACCCTTTGTACCTTTCATTCTTCAAGTCCATTTCGATCACCATAATCTGAACTGTGCAACTCCCTGTGTTGAGGTCAATGCTCTTGAAGCATAACCAACAGTGTGGCCTTTGCTCCCAGGCCCTAGGCTGAAATATTACGATGAGCCTGGTCAGTAATATATTTAAGACTTGCTCCTGCCTAAACCTAGACAATTAATCTTTGTTAATCTTCAAGTGTCCTTAATATACATTTCCTTCTGCCATCACTTGACTTGGTGGGTTTATAAGAGTCCCTTGGAGAATCCTGCAAGAAAAGAGTGCTCTTGGCACAACTGTCAAAATAAACAGAAAAGGTAAAGAAAAACAAGTTAACAGTGTAGAAAGTGTTTCTAAACCATCTTTAAACATGTGCTACAAGGAGTGGACATTTAGAGCCAACTATCATTGATATTGCTCTTGCTCTAATGCTCATTTATACCAAATTTTGGTTTACTCGGTTATCTTCTGAGGTGATTGATCCACATCAAAACCTTAATCTTGCTTCTTCAGGGACCATCACAGCTAACAGAAAAAACATCAATATTTTAATTATTATTGCACTTTTGTAATAACAATCATAACAATGTGACAGTTTGCTAATTAACAACCCTACGAGTGCCCCTAACTAGGCTTGCAAGATTCTTACCTGGATCCTTACTCGTAGAATGAATATGATTTAATTAGAGGGGAGATCTATGGTTCAGGAACATACTTAAAAAATGTTTGTTTCTTAAGAGATTTTTACTATCTGGATTATGGTTATAACGTGATAATTGCGCACCCTAGGTTTAAAACATGAGCTGTCAATTTGACGTTATTACATATGTTGCATAGATTTTTCAAATTCTGATGATACATAATGATTTTGTTCTTGAGTTCTGATGAAAGTTTTTAGTGGCAAACTGAAACGTTGATATTTTTTATTTTTGCAAGTAATAAAATGTACATTTATTGGATATAACAAGATCTGGGAGTGCTATCCGATTTATTTTATTTTTTTTCATGTGTTCTATTTTCAGATGAGTGTGTTTATTAGTGAGCCAGTTTGGTCATATACAATTCGATATTGTGATCATGGCTTTGCATCTCGATTTGCCCATTATACCCAGTGTCCAGTCTGTGCCTGTCCCTCTCACACATGAAAGCATTCCCTTACATTATGTCTTATTATATTATTTCCCGGTTTGGTTTCCTGTAATGTGTGTCACACCCCACACCCCGAGGGCAGCAGACTAAGCAGATATTTTGGATAATACTTAACACCATGACACATGATGTTAATTGTTTAATTATATGTTAATAATGGCCTATATCCTAAATCTCATGAGAGAGGAAAGTTTCACACTAGCGTAATGACTGCATTGTGACACAAAGATCAAGAAAGATTGGGGGATAAAGTATGCACTATCCTTTACTATTTTGTAATACTTTAAAAAAATACTTTCATAAAAGACATTTTAATATATTCTTTCTATCGTCTAGAATTCACACTAAAGAGTGAAATGTGTGGGGGATTGAAAACTAAGATTGCTAAATTCATGCTAAATGAAGATGATTGAGTGTAAATTGGAGAGTTTGTAGGCTATGGTGCCTTGTATAGTTATGTCACATGGTCCCATCCTGGGGGACTGGCCCCAGAGTCATTTATCTATAATGGTTACAGTTTACACAAGATCCTTAATGATTACGGGTGTAGATTTAGGGTTTCCCCCCAGACAGCAGTGTTTAATATAACTCACTATGCAGAATGTTATATAGATGTTCTGCGGTTGAATGAAAGAATATTCATCCACACAGCTGGATGGAGTTATTATTATAAGCGAAAATTATGGTGAAAAAAAAAAGAAGATATATCCTCTTAGTTAAACAGTGGTAACGTCTTAGTGGTCTTCTGTGAAAGCTGAATATTAAATTCCATATAGACAGACACCATAATTCATTCTTTTTTGCCGCTAGGGAATTTCGAGCAGGTTTAGTTGAAATGAGGTGATTCAAAAGCTTTTTGTCATTTTTTTTTTCTACCAGGGAAGAGAGATAGATCAGGGACCAGGAATATCTGTGCAAAGGTGGGATAACCCAGTATAGAAAGGTAAACAGGGATACCTTTACTCCCAATCACATATTTCTATCTCCCTATTCAATACCACTAAGTGTACATAGAGTCAGTTCAACAACTTTTGGAATTCACTGTGCGTTTCCCATATTTCACGTTATAGTGAATAGCCTGCAGGGTTTATTCACAAAACACTGAATACCGAATTGAAGGAAAATGAAAACAAATGACAACATTTAGTCAACAACAGATGACAAAGAAATCTCCAATGTTTAGTTCAACCTTGCCTAATTTAACCTTGCTTTCAGGGCTTAGTAAATAAACCCCTGCTTGCCCTCTTGGGCACCCAGAATTATGTAAAAATGATAAGGTTTGGAGAGCACTTCTATCAGATTAGCTTCACGATCTGTCCCGTGTTTAAACAGGCGCAGTTTGTAAATCCTGACCCCAATGTGCAGGTGGGCTGCAAACTCCTTAAACATGAATGAACACATTCCTCAGCGATCATGTAGAATTCTCCTCGAGAAACCTTTAGTGCGTTGTATTGGAGAACTTAAATATAATGTGTCAATTTGACTAAAGAAAATTGCATATTTTTATGTGAACAATGACTGGCTGTGTTTGAATTGCAAAAGTGATGCTAGGATGCCAGACACCCGGTGCTCTGGAACAGGACCAGCAATCCCACAACAATAAGGCAACAAAGAAATTCCCGAGGCACTCAAGGTGTTGAAGCCACAGGCAGTTTTAATGAAACAAAAAGAACAGCAACGTTTCGACCTCCTAAGAGGTCTTTTTCAAGCTAACACCACAAAGAAAATTCGAGTGTATATATATCAAACAGTGCAAACAAAATTAACCAATAATTCACTTTAGTAAAATTAGTTAACATAAATAACTAAAACAAATTATAAAAATTACACACAATGTCTATAAATACAATGATCCATGGCTTACCTCGGTGTGTCAAAGGAGGGAGAGACAAGAAAAAATATTAATAAAGTAAAATAAAAAAAAATAATAGAAATGAAAATGAACGCTTGTCAAAGCAAAACGTTCGGTTACGTGGAATACATGAACACTTTTCCTGTTATCTGGAACCCAGAAGGACAGCCCATCCGATGGGTCGGCGCAAGCGCAATCTAAAAAGAGAGGGCAATCCCGAAAAAAGTAAAAACCTTTCGTACCTTTGTACGTTTGTACACATAGACGACACTATCCGTTCGTGTGTTCATGCGCACGAGCGTATGAACAAACAGCACGAACCACCAATTACGTGGTGCATGCATCCCCTGCCAAACTGGGATCCATATGTGCATGCATACAGTGAAAACCAGGCATATGAAACACCATTATCTCACAAAAGCTGTATAAATGAACAAAAAAGAGAGGGAAAAAATAAAAAGAGAGAGAAAGAGAAAATGAACGAAGACCAAGAAGAAAAAAGGAAAATAAAGATGAAAATAAATAAAAATAAAATAAATAATAAATAATAAATGAATAATAGCAAAATATAAAAAATACATAATAATACAAATAAAGGTAAATGAAAATGATAAAAAATAAGAATAAAAGTTAAAGAAAAAGAAAAAGAAGAGAAAAGATATATATAAAAAAAATTAAATATATATGTATATATGTATTAAGGCAATTTGGCCTGGATTTGTGGGAGGTGCTTGGTATCCACTCCTAGCCTACTTAAGGCACACCACTTACCTCATTACCGTTTGAGGTCAGCATTGAATGACCCTCCCACCACACCACATTTTAACATTTATTTATTTTTCCTTGGTAGGCCCTCTTCTTTCTCAGGCCTACCTCATCGCCGGTTCCAGCACACCACAACCGACTTGCCCTTTTTACTATCCTACATTTAATTATGGTATTTTACTCTGTACTATCATGAGCACCTAACACAAATAAATATATATATATATATATATATATATATATGTGATGGATAGAAATACGCTGCTTCACTTTTCCAGTTCACATCCTCTAGCGATTTATAAAGCTCTACCAAAGAGTCAATATACTCGGGTCAGAAGGCTTGTATCCAATTCAGATTTGGTTGATTCTTGAGTAATGCCAAGGGATTTGTTGAACAATGTTATTCCTTGGCATTACTCAAGAATCAACTTGATCAGGTAAAATATCAGGAGTGGGAACATTTCTTGCATCCATGTAGAGCAGGGAGAAATGAGAATAGGCTGGAATTTGTTTCTAAATTTGGAAGATATTTCCCTGATCTACAGAGAATTGTGTACAGACATTGGCATGTCCTCACTAATTGTCACCCTAATATTGCTGAGTTTGCTCAGAAACCTATGTTTGCGTTTAAGAGAGGCACTTCATCAAATTACAAACTGGTTAAAACTCTTGTTCCTACAGGTAATGTTGCCACTACTTCTAAACAAGGCAATTTTCTATGTTACAACTGTATCTCTTGAAATATTCTATTAGACAATTTCTGACATGCAATTCTGACTTTGTGGTTTATGCACTGAAGTGCCCATGTGGTCTCTTGTACGTGGGCCAAACTGGCCAAAAGTTTAAAATGAGGTTTTCTAAACATAAGTCTACAATCCTTACTGGACTGACTGACTTACCTCTTCCTGCTCACTTTTTTGAAGCTAGACATAATGTCTCTCAATTAAGGTTCCACATCTTAGAACAGATTATGGAATTTTCAAGGAGAGGCAAGAGATTACTATTACGTGAGGCTAATTGGATTCGGGAACTTGACACATTACATCCTAAAGGTTTAAACTATGATTATGATTTATCTATGTTAATTTAAGTAATACTAAAATAGCTTTAAAAAAAAGGATGGATATGTGAGAGTGTCAAAGTGCAAGATAGTGCAAGATAGTGCAGGCAAGCCACTGAAAACTGGGAAACACTCCCTGAATCCCTCCAATAAAACCAAGTGCTAGCAAACTGTATGACACACAAGTGAAAATACAGTACAGGGTGCCACAATCACAAATTATGAGATGGTTATAATTACCAAAAGGCTAAGCTGATAACCAAACTCACATGTGAAAGAGAAACAAAGAAATCATACTGCAAACTTTAATATACACAAACATTAAAAAATAAGCAAGTGGGAACACTCACAAAAGAAATGGCACAACTGAAATGAATCAATATGCGCACAAGTGCTTGTTGCCTCAAAATGGGCTTAAACCCAAGGAACATGAGTCAGCTGTACAAGTCTCATCCAGGCTTCCTTCTCAAGTAATCAGGAAACAGAGCGTCAAGTCTTCAGATGCTGCAATGTTGGAGTCCTTTTGGGGGTACCGATCTACTCTACGCGTTTCGTCTAGTCCTAGACTTCCTCAGAAGCTTCTAGATGAAACATGTTGAACAGATCGGTACCCCCAAAAGGACTCCAAAGAATAGTAAGAATAGTCAGAATACTTGTTGAGGTCAGGGACACAGAATGGGGCACAACGATAAGGGAAAGCCAAAAGTCAGGGATACCAGAATACAGGAAAGTTAAAATGAAGCCAAAGTCAATAGCCAGAAGTAAACGCTCAGGAAACACACTCTCGGACATCCACTAAGGGAAACCATGACAGGGCAATGAGGAAAAGTAAAATTGTGTTCAAATAAGCCCTTTACAAATCTGATTGATCCCAGAATGTGCACGCGCGACTCCCGTGTGACATCACATGCACGTTGACATCGTCATCATTGTGGGTGGACGTGGGGCTACAACCCGGCATGGGTCCACAGCGGCCGGCATCCATCAACATGTTGCAGTAGTCAGGTACACAGATGCATGGCCGCTGAGTGCAAATACCACAAGGTGAGGACGAATATGCTACATTACACCACACCTGGGCAGGACCAGGCTTGAGAGGAAACCTGGCGTGGAAAGAACGAATCTTGCGGCCAGCATGGACGTCAGAGGCTGGAACCCAAGAATGCTTGGCAGGCCCATACCCTCTCCAATCAACTAAATACTGTAAAGTGCCACGAGAAAACCTGGAATCAATCATGTAGGAGACCTCATACTCCTCCTGTCCAGAAAAATACAATGGAGGAGAGGGAACACTTGGGACAGTACAGTATATCTATTGCAAACAAGTGGTTTGAGCAAAGAAACATGAAAGGTATTAGGAATACGCAAGGAGTCAGGGAGAGCCAGAGAATACGAAATAGGATTAATCCTACGAAGGATACAAAATGGACCAAGGAATCTGGGAGCAACCTCATGCTAGGAACTTTTAGTTTGATGTTGCACGATGATAACCACACCCTCTCACCCACTTGGTAAACAGGTTTGGCACCCCACCATTTATCAGCAAAAACTTTGAAACGATCAGCCGCAGTTTCTAGAGCAGAGTGAACATTGATCCAAGTATCACTAATAGAAGCAAGGTGGTCATGCAGGGCAAGAATAGCCATGTCAGAAAAAACAGCCGGCAGGACAGTAAGATGACGACTGTTATTAACAAAGAATGGACTATGTCCAGAAGAGTCAGCTAATAACAAAAGTACAAAAAAAAACAAAATAACAAATAACAGAGTGCTATTAACAAAACAATGCAAATATAATTCCAATGACTGGTTAGCCCTCTCAGATGTGCCATTGGTTTGGTGTTGGTAAGAGGAAGAGAAAGACAATTCAATGCCTAACTGTTTGTTGAAAGCCTTCCAAAACCGAGAGACAAACTGAGAACCGCTGTCAGATACAATATTGTGAGGAATGCCATGCAGTTGGAAAATTTCTCATATAAAGATAAGCACCAGGTCTTGTGAGGATGGCAATTTTTTGAGTGGATCGAAATGAGCCATCTTGGAAAAGCGGTCAACCACCAAAGGATGGTGGTATAGCCATTAGAACTAGGAAGTTCTACAATGAAATCCATGGACAAATGGGACCATGGAACATTAGAAACGGGAAGTGGATGTAACAATCCACATGGTAGTTTATGAGGTACATTAGAAACTGTACAAACAGAACAGGCCTGCACATATTATTTAACATCTTTCCTGAGAGAATCCCACCAAAATGATCTCATGATCACGGATATGGATTTATTGATGCCTGGGTATCCAACAGTCACATTATTGTGGAACACCTTTATGACATTTTTACTTTCCCCGAATGGAACAATCTATCCCGTGGTTTATTGCATGGTGCTTGAGACTGAGACTCCATGATGGCGCCAAGTAGAGGAGATGACAAGGAAAGGACAGTGGAAACGATGATACAATCAGGAGCAATAATAGGGGATGTCTCTTGTTCTTGTACCGATTCAGTATCAAACTGCCTAGATAAGGTGTCTGCCTTCAAAAAACCCCAAAAAACTATTGCCCCCACCCCTGTGCGACAGGTGGGGGCCCTAAATTACAATAAGAGGGGGGGACCTACTGTCCTCCCCCCCGGCTCCCACCCCTGCGCGGCGGGTGGAGGCCCTAAATAACAATAAGGAGGGGACTTACTGTCCTCCCCCCCAGCCCCCACCCCTGAGCGGTCGGTGGGGGCTATAAATAAGAATTTGGGGGGACCTACTGTCCTCCCCCACTGCTCCCACCCCTGCGCGCGCGTGGGGGCCGTAAATAACAATAAGGGGGGGACCTACTGTCCAAAGAACTTTCCCACGCTGTGTAAAATGACACAGAGCACTCTGATTGGTCAATTTCAAGCCAACCAATCAGAGTGCTGTGACAGGTAAATGTTACCTGTCAGTCTCTTCATTTACCTGTCAGGGCACTCTGATTGGATTTCTTAAACCCACCAATCAGAGTGCTCTGATCCTAATTGCAGGGCGGGGCAAAGCAGTCTGCGCAGAGCCCTCCATAGGTGAAAATTGAATATTTTTTTTGCGGTTGTGTGTTTTTTTTTTTGCGGTTGTGTGGTTTTTTTTTTGCGTCGGTTATTATGGATTTTTATTTGTTCTTTTTTGGGGCTTAAAAAAGAAGAGTTTAGAAGAAAGAAAACATCAAATGGTAAGTTTTATTTTATTTTTAAAAATTTTTTACAGGTATGTCGATATATTCCTCGGCTGTTCTATGTTCATTCGCACCCGCTACATTGGAAGAAGTCTCTGCTCTGCTCCAGTCCTCCCGCCCCACCACCTGCTCCCTAGATCCAATTCCATCGCATCGCATCTCATCTCATCCGTACTCTGTCTTCTTCTCTTTCTCCACCTCTCACTAAAATTCTCAATCTCTCTCTCTCCTCTGGTATATTTCCATTGCCCTTCAAACATGCAACTATAACCCCAATTCTAAAGAAGCCCAATCTTGACCCTAACTCCCCATCCAACTATCGTCCTATCTCGCTACTGCCTTTTGCATCCAAGATCCTTGAAAAAATTGTGTATGTGAGATTGACAGACTTCCTCGAGTCCAACTCTGCTAGACCCGCTTCAGTCTGGCGAGCATCATAGGTGGGAGTACGGACAGAAGATAGACGTAAGTCTTCAGCAGATCGTAAGGGCCTAGATGGGACATACTTGTGTATAAGGGAGGATAGATAGGTGGGAGCAGCATTATGTAGAGATTTGAAAACAAGAACCAGAATTTTAAATTGAGCTCTATATTTTATAGGAAGCCAATGTACGGACAGACAGAAGGGTGAGGCATGGGAGGTGCGTGCGGACAGGAATATGAGCCTTGCCGCCGCATTCATTATGGACTGTCTAGTTGGGAGCACGTAAGACCACTGAGAAGCGGATTACAGTAGTCAAGGTGAGAAAGGACAGTGGAATGGACCAACACCTTAGTCGCATCTGGCGTTAAGTAGGGGCGGATGCTCGCAATGTTTTTGAGATGGAAATTACAGGATTTGGCGATAGATTGAACATGGGGCTTGAAGGAGAGGTCGGAGTCAAAGAGAACACCTAGGCAGCGAGCCTGCATGGTGGAGCTGATGGTAGCACCGTTGACTTTGAGGGAGACAGACACAGGAGTAACAACACTTGAGGGAGGAAAGACCAGAATTTCAGTTTTGGTCAAATTTAGTTTAAGGAAGTGGGCAGCCATCCAGTTAGAAACAGCAGAGAGGCAGTCAGAGACACTAGTCAAGAGGGATGGGGAGAGATCAGGAGAGGACAGGTAGATTTGCGTGTCATCTGCATAGAAATGATATTGGAAGCCAAAGGAACTAATGAGTTTACCAAGGGAGGCAGTATAGATGGAGAACAGTAGGGGACCAAGGACTGAACCTTGGGGACACCAACAGAGAGGAGTTGGGGAGAAGAAGCAGAGCCAGAGAAAGAAACACTGAAAGAGCGCTGGGAGAGGTAGGAGGAGCACCAGGAGAGAGCAGTATCTTGTAGACCGATATTGCGGAGAATAAGAAGAAGCTGTTGATGATCAACAGTGTCAAAAGCCGCAGACTGGTCAAGGAGAATTAGGATAGAGTAGTGACCACGAGATTTTGCAGCGAGTAGATCATTGTATACTTTGGTCAGTGCCGTTTCCACAGAGTGCTTAACAGAGTGTATAACAGAACTCCACAGTAATAATACTCCCAGTAATGTGTATGATTGTATAACAGAGCTCCACAGCAATAATACTCCCAGTAATGTGTCTGAGTGTATAACAGAACTCCACAGTAATAATACTCCCAGTAATGTGTCTGAGTGTATAACAGAGTTCCACAGCAATAATACTCCCAGTAATGTGTCTGAGTGTATAACAGAACTCCACAGCAATAATACTCTGAGTGTATAACAGAGCCCCACAGTAATAATACTCCCAGTAATGTGTCTGAGTGTATAACAGAACTCCACAGCAATAATACTCTGAGTGTATAACAGAGCCCCACAGCAATAATACTCCCAGTAATGTGTCTGAGTGTATAAAAGAGCTCCACAGCAATAATACTCCCAGTAATGTGTCTGAGTGTATAACAGAGCTCCACAGCAATAATACTCCCAGTAATGTGTCTGAGTGTATAACAGAGCTCCACAGTAATAATACTCCCAGTAACGTGTCTGAGTGTATAACAGAGCTCCACGGCAATAATACTCCCAGTAACGCGTCTGAGTGTATAACAGAGCTCCACGGCAATAATACTCCCAGTAACGCGTCTGAGTGTATAACAGAGCCCCACAGCAATAATACTCCCAGTAATGTGTCTGAGTGTATAACAGAGCTCCGCAGCAATAATACTCCCAGTAATGAGTCTGAATGTATAACAGAGCCCCACAGCAATAATACTCCCAGTAATGTGTCTGAGTGTATAACAGAGCCCCACAGCAATAATACTCCCAGTAATGTGTCTGAGTGTATAACAGAGCTCCACAGCAATAATACTCCCAGCAATGTGTCTGAGTGTATAACAGAGCTCCACAGCAATAATACTCCCAGTAATGTGTCTGAGTGTATAACAGAGCCCCACAGTGATAATACTCCCAGTAATGAGTCTGAGTGTATAACAGAGCTCCACAGCAATAATACTCCCAGTAATGTGTCTGAGTGTATAACAGAGCTCCACAGCAGTAATACTCCCAGTAATGTGTCTGATTGTATAACAGAGCTCCACAGCAATAATACTCCCAGTAATGTGTCTGAGTGTATAACAGAGCTCCACAGCAATAATACTCCCAGTAATGTGTCTGAGTGTATAACAGAGCTCCACAGCGATAATACTCCCAGTAATGTGTCTGAGTGCATAACAGAGCTCCACAGCGATAATACTCCCAGTAATGTGTCTGAATGCATAACAGAGATCCACAGCAATAATACTCCCAGTAATGTGTCTGAGTGTATAACAGAGCTCTACAGCAATAATACTTCCAGTAATGTGTCTGAGTGTATAACAGAGCTCTGCAGCAATAATACTCCCAGTAATGTGTCTGAGTGTATAACAGAGCTCCACAGCAATAATACTCCCAGTAATGTGTCTGAGTGTATAACAGAGTTCCATAGCAATAATACTCCCAGTAATGTGTCTGAGTGTATAACAGAGCTCCACAGCAATAATACTCCCAGTAATGTGTCTGAGTGTATAACAGAGCTCCACAGCAATAATACTCCCAGTAATGTGTCTGAGTGTATAACAGAGCCCACAGCAATAATACTCCCAGTAATGTGTCTGAGTGTATAACAGAGCTCCACAGCAATAATACTCCCAGTAATGTGTCTGACTGTATAACAGAGCTCCACAGCAATAATACTCCCAGTAATGTGTCTGAGTGTATAACAGAGCTCCACAGTGATAATACTCCCAGTAATGTGTCTGAGTGTATAACAGAGCTCCACTACAGTAATACTCCCAGTAATGTGTCTGAGTGTATAACAGAGCTCTACAGTAATAATACTCCCAGTAATGTGTCTGAGTGTATAACAGAGCTCCACAGTAATAATACTCCCAGTAATGTGTCTGAGTGTATAACAGAGTCCCACAGTAATAATACTCCCAGTAATGTGTCTGAGTGTATAACAGAGCTCCACAGTAATAATACTCCCAGTAATGTGTCTGAGTGTATAACAGAGCTACACAGCAATAATACTCCCAGTAATGTGTCTGAGTGTATAACAGAGCTCCACAGTAATAATACTCCCAGTAATGTGTCTGAGTGTATAACAGAGCTCCACAGCAATAATATTCCCAGTAATGTGTCTGAGTGTATAACAGAGCTCCACAGCAATAATACTCCCAGTAATGTGTCTGAGTGTATAACAGAGCCCCACAGCAATAATACTCCCAGTAATGTGTCTGAGTGTATAACAGAGCTCCACAGTAATAATACTCCCAGTAATGTGTCTGAGTGTATAACAGAGCCCCACAGCAATAATACTCCCAGTAATGTGTCTGAGTGTATAACAGAGCTCCACAGCAATAATACTCCCAGTAATGTGTCTGAGTGTATAACAGAGCCCCACAGCAATAATACTCCCAGTAATGTGTCTGAGTGTATAACAGAGCTCCACAGCAATAATACTCCCAGTAATGTGTCTGAGTGTATAACAGAGCTCCACAGCAATAATACTCCCAGTAATGTGTCTGAGTGTATAACAGAGCTCCACAGCAATAATACTCCCAGTAATGTGTCTGAGTGTATAACAGAGCTCCACAGCAATAATACTCCCAGTAATGTGTCTGAGTGTATAACAGAGCTCCACGGCAATAATACTCCCAGTAATGTGTCTGAGTGTATAACAGAGCTCCACAGCAATAATACTCCCAGTAATGAGTCTTTAAACTACAATAAATGTGTTTAGAAATCAGTCTGTGTAAACATGATATATTGTTCTTGTTATAAATTACATTTTCGTTGTATAAATTGTTGTTAGTAAGTCACCTACAATTAGAATTAGAAAATAAGAATTTGCTCAGTATCCAAGTTGTCTTTACTGCACCCAGGAAGGCTGCACTGCTACAGTAAATACCTTCTAGAAGACAGCTGCCCGGAGACTGATTAATACGATCTGTATGTTCCTACCAATGGAACAAAAAAGATATGTTTACACATTTTTTTTTTTAATCTCAACCCTGAGGCTGAGAACATTACTCTAGAGCAGGGGTAGGAAACCTTGAACACTCCAGATGTTGTGGACTGCATCTCCCCTGATGCTTTACCAGCATTGTCGCTGTAATAGCATTCTGGGAGAAGTAGTCCACCACATCTGGAGTGCTGAAGGTTGCCTACTAATGTGTGTTTTCACTAAACGTTGAGAAATTGTCACTTTTCACAACTTTTCACAACTAATTAGATTAGCGCGAATTTGACGGGTTATCTGACAAACTCTTACCAATTCAGTGTTTAGTGAATACACCACTGACATTTATTACAGCACTTTTTATACAATGTAGAACATATTGACATAAATAATAAAATATTTACCTTAATAGTAGCAGATAAAAAAAAAAAATGCTTTCTTTGCACTTCGCAAAACAAATCCTCGTAAACTAATCTGGACTTTTTTTTTTTTTTCATCCGAAGATAATCCTTGATTACTGTCAGGGAACATATACTAATCAGATGTGGATGTACAAAATATTTCACATGACTGAACTTTATGTAGGAGGAGAAAAAGTCAAGAAAATTTATATTTTGTGTAATTTATTTTAAAAAATTTTATGATTTGATCTTTTGCTCCCAAAAACCATTGCACCAGACGTGGAACATGCGCACGATACATCATCCATTACTGCTTCTTTTTAATGTGAAATTGCCCAGTTTGATAAAATAGTTCTATTTGTGTAACATAATGAAGCAATTAAGAAACTTGCTGTAAACCCGCTAATTGTTAAATAAATTACTACAAGCGCTAAAGACATATAGTATGTAATGTTTGCACTGATTAGTAAATGTCTTGCTTTTTGACAAATATGTATGCAAAGATTCAATTGCATTTGCAGTTTCAAAATGCCTTACAGCCAATCAAATCACCGCCTTCATCGTCAATCCTGGAAAATCCTAATTTTAATTATACAGATGGAGGGGCATAGGATCAATAAATGGTGCCAGAAGTTTGATCTTGCTGGCACTGAGAAGGTTAAAAGAAGGTGTGCTTTTTTGGGGCTGCCACCAGCACAGGCCATCTCCTCCTCCCTCCTGCCTGTCTCTGTCAAACAAAAAGTTATTTCAGATGCTGCTAAAAGGGTAGAGATACCCAGAAAGTAGTGATGGGCTATAATTGGAGAGAGCTGTTCTGTACTCCCATGGTGGCTCCTGAATTTTGAAACTCAATCCTGCTTCCCATTCCCAGCCCCTCCTCTGTGCAGTCCCAGACAGCTTGCCCTCTCTTGTCTAATTCACTTCAGTTTCATATCCCCTCCCTGCAAGGATCAGCTCTGAGCTTGTCCCCCTCGCTGAGCACAAGATCATTGTCCCAGCTCCTGCCACCAGCCAGCTCAGGAATTCCATGTATTCTCCCAACATCCACTGCCCACATCTCCAGCCACTTGGATTTAGGATGTAAAGTTTATCTGACTCTTCCTGGACTAAGGTGGGACCTGCTGCCTCTGTGTGAGACTTTGAGGTGAGTTCTGAATTCTTCCCATCCATCAACACTTTGCCTTGCTCCTGCTGAATGCCAGGGAGTGATTGGGAGTATCATTGGATGCTGTGAGTAATTCTAATAATTACTTTGTCTCAGTATTAAAATACCACCTGCAGCTCTGTTTCTTCTAATATCTCCATGTGGCGAGTGACACAAACAATGAACAGGCAATAAACAGCCAATGCAGTGACAAAATCTGTGTTCTGTTTAGACAACGCAAAGTATTTATTTGCTCTCATATTGATTGATTTATGTAATTTATTAAAACATGCCAACATATTGATCTATCTGTCTGTCTGTCTGTCTGTCTGTCTGTCTATCTATCTATATATCTTTTTAATTGAGTCACTGAATATAACGTTTGTAGGCTGAGTGCCGTGTGTTACATTTAAATAAAAAGTCTAAACTTCATCTGGTGCGATCAACTTTGTTTTGAAAAGAAAGAGTAACAGAGTGTCTCTCACTCACAAAATTCAAACTTGTGGATGCTATTGTTAGTTTTGTTTAATTTGTTTTTGTTTGCTTTGGGAGTTCCCCTTGACCTTGAATTTGGAGTGATAATATAACCATTAGACTATAAGAGCAATACTCGTAGCATCTATAACACTATCTATGCTGTCTTAAAGAAGTGATTCAAAGTTATCTCATACTCAGACATCATAGCATTGCACAGGATTAGAATGGGAGTAGAGATTATAACTTTGTAAAAATGTGGCCGTTGTTTCACACAAAATGTTGCATATTTCTACAGGGCCTGGTGCAAATCAAATTGCAGAGACTATGGGTGGGGAATGACCCATTTTCTGAAAAATATATTTTAATTATTATGATAAAATTAAAACAAAGAGTTGTATCAGAGAAAAAATTATTTTATAAATGTATGCATGGATTTTACATGAATTTGTGTATTTTTTTCTTATATTTTTATTTCAATGTATTTATTTTTAAGTGTTGATTGCAATATATGCAATGATGAAGATTTCCACAGTCTAAATTTGATTTTTTTTAATTAATTGTTTTTACTCTGCATATTGACATTCTTTTCTTCTAACACAATGTATACATGAACTAATTTTCTGTTGCAAAATTAAATTTAACCTCTGAAACCCCTTATTCCCTTGTCCTTTGCTCCAGTGCCGATCTTCACCCTGCAGAATAACTAGCTTTTTGCCAGGATCTATTCATCCGTTCTGCCTCTATACAGAAGGCTTTAAATGGCCCTTTTCCTCCTTCCACACTACACAAATGCCAATGTGGGACGCACTATATAGCTACTTTCTCGCAGCCTAGTTAGGTGAACTCAGAAAACTATATATAAAGTTATTTGTTAAAGTGGGAGTTGTCATGAATTTTAAGTTAATTTATATTTTTTTATGCCAAAATAGCTAAATTGAAAACATAGCTGACTATAAATATTCCCATGTCATATCATGGTATCATTTTTAAATTCACTTTGAGCTGGCATTATATTTATGATTATTTATTAGCAGGCTGTGATAGGGCTTGCCAAGTCCTATACAGTATAGATGCTTGGTGTTTGTCAAGTAACTTTGTCTACAGTTTACAGATATTTTCACATTCTGGTGGAGTTTTACTATACTGCAATCACAAAAATGTCACTAGGTTCCTTGCAATTGCCCATAAACTGGGTTTTTGACCACTTGTATATATTTAATATTTTTTATTTTGTTTTGTAATTTTTTTTTTTTTTTTTTGCTTCTTTGCTGATATATCAGACCCTGTGTGAAATATTAGGGATACCATCTAAGTGCTCAACCTGACTATATATTAGCTATTAGATGTGCATTTAAAAAATAAAATAATTTGTCCCAAAGCATTGTGGGAAGATCTTGGTACTTGGATTGAGAAAGATAATGGAGGGTATATTGCATATTGAGGTGAGGAAATTGGGAACTGTTATTCGAGAAATGACAGTTCCTCTTTCAGATACTGATATCAATACCTTATGTACACTGCTCTGAATTTTGATAGAAAAAAAAATAAAAAAATCTAAACTTACCCCTATACCAGCATATGCAGCATATCACCCCAAAACAATCCTTCCAATTTTGGCCTTCATTTAATATTAAGATTTCATATTTTTGGAAAAACATGTAAAATATCAAAAAATATATCCTGTTTATAAACTATATTGAAAAATGTAAAAAAACTGAAGTATTAAATAATTTTTAAATTTTGTCCAATAATATGAAATCATGTGGGAAGTTTATCCAACAACATTAAATCCAGGTCTTGGTTGGCTAAATCTCAACTGTTTAATGAGACCTGGCCAGCTGTCATTCAGGACTACTACTCGACCGGGAATTTTTGGGAATATACAAAGGAATTTCTAAATTTAGGTCTTGTTTTCCTTACTGGAAAATGATTGTTTTTCCAATTTTTTTTTTCCGTCTAAATGTTAAAATGTTCTGAAAGTTTGCAGTTCAATTTAAACTTAAAACATTTTTGGGGTATAGTTCCTAATTCACATATTTTTTCCATACATTAACACGCTTTCTAAAATCTTGTCTATTCTGACACTTCTTGGTAATTGGACCATCCTTTAGACACTTTTTACAAGGTGAGTCATGAAACACCCAAATAACTTTTTAGGAGTTTAGTGTTACATTATGATGAGGGATACATGTAGTAATCAGTTTAGTATTATAAGACTTAGAGTCAGTACAAATGTTAGTATATAATCACATCTGTGAATAGAAGCAGTGCTTAAGTAGTCGGACAGTTATCTCATGCTGAATTCGGGTAAACTTGTTTTTATTTTCAATTTGAATATGTTATCTCTGTTTTTAAATGGTACCCAAAGCCAGGTATCATTAAGGACAGTATTTGCCAAGAAGGGAGCATACATGAGCAACCACCATATTACATCTGATCTGCCAACTTCCTCGAGGCATCTACCTTGACCGGATTTCCATGATAATTTTATTAATGTATTCCTCATCTTTGATG